TTATTCATTTTATATCATTTATTATATTTCTCATTTAACTTCTAAAAGAGTGTTATTTATTTAAAATAAACTGTTGTTCAATAATTATTCATATTAATGATGTTATAAATTGAAATAATAATATTCATCAGTTTTGAAGAAATTCTGTATTTTTTTAAAGAAACAATAGTATTTGTATTGACTTATTTAGATGATAACACATGATTTAATCTTGTTATAGAAGTAGAATAAATAAACAAGAAAGAATAAATAAACGATAAAATAAATAATAAATAGAGGTGTTGTTAATCCCACCAGAATAATGAATAATATAAAATAAAATTAATAACACTTAATTATATACTTTTTATGATTAATTGTATTTTCATTTCTATTTCATTTTCATTTCTATCATTATTATGTGATATTATCATTAATTATGTGAAATGTTTTGTTATTTATTATTTTTATTATTAATTTTCTTATGTTATTATTGTTATTTAAAATAATAAAAATAAAATGATGTTTATTAAAATGATAAAATAGTAAATAAAATGATGTGTTATAAATGTGTATTTAAGTATTTAATCATCTGATTTTAATCTGATATTCATTAAATTAAAATGGAAGAGTTAATAAACAAGAACACTCATTTCTTTAAAGAAGAAATAGAAACACTTCCAAATATTCAACAATCAATTGATGATATTAATAAACATTATCAATATTATTTAGGAAGTATTAAAAATGAAATACTTAAAATAAAACCAGATGAAACATATTCAGAAGCTATTAAAAGGGGAGAAGGAATATTTGATAGAATTGATGAAACAGAAAGAAGAAGAAAACTAGTAATAGAAAAAAGTCAAGAAACAATTAAAGTAGTTGAAATAATAAAGAGTCAAATGATAAAGATAATAGAAGAAAGTAATTCAGATGAAGAAATACTAAGTAAAACACGGAATGAAATAATCAATAAAATCATTTCAATTGAAGAAATGACCATGAAAGATAAAATATTCAGAACACTATAAAAAAATTCACTTAATAGAAGAATAGATAAATAGAAAAGTATCTAACATACTATTTGATTTAGATATTGATGATTGGAATAAATGTACATCATTTTCTTAATAAAAGAATAATAAATAAAGAACATATAATAATTATTATTGAAGATACAAAAGGAAATAAATTTGGAGGATATATTAATGTGAAAATTGATAAAGTTAATGATTATATAAATGATCCAAAATCATTTTTATTTTCATTAGAATCAAATAGGAGAATACAAGGAATGATGAAATTTGATATTAAAATACCACAACATACATTTTGGTTAAATAATCAATCAGATTGTTTGTTTTCATTTAGGTTAGGAAATGGTATTGATTTATAAAGAAAATGATAAAATAAATTCATATTGTAAACAGTGTTCATTTTCATAAATGGAATATCAAATGTAATTTGTTGAAAACACACCCAGAATGTTTCATCCACAAGGAATCATTATAATTGAAATAAAAATATTAGATGTTGTTTATTTGAAAAAAAAGGAACATAAAATAAATAAATATGAACATTTCATCTATCAATGAATGAAAAGATGAATATAAAATGAACATATCTCTTTCTTGATTTCACTTTAGTCCCATGAATAAATGAAATAATATAACAATATAATAAAATATTCAAAAATAAAAGAATATAAATCATAAAAGTAATATTAAATACTGGTGTAGTAATAAAGATTAAAGAAGATATTAAACAATAGTTATTAAAGATGAAAATACAATGAAAATGAAATAACAGAATAAATAAATATTGGTAAGAATGAATGAAGAAATTATCAATAAATTATAATTATTTCTTTTTTAATTTAATTGTTTAATGCAAACAATAACTACAAAGTTTATTTTAATTTCGTTTATA